AATTGATTACGAGATGCTCTATATTTCGGGAAATTTTAAAAGAGACGCAAAACCTATGGAGAAAGAAGTTTCTGGCTTTTTTAGGACTCTTATACATAGCTGGATTGCACAAATCCTTCCATGTAAATATTAGAGAATTATGGGCGACTGATGGAACAGGATTCGATATTTTTCGTAAAACAAATGAACTATAAGTGTATTCTTTTCATTCTTCGTACCTTACAATTCGATGATGTTGGTACACTGGATGGGAAAAGAAAGAGTGATAAATTAGCTCCAATAAGAGATTTCTTTGAAAACGTTGTCAAGAATTGTCAGAAATTATATCATGTAGGGGAATATGTGACTTTGGACAAAATGCTAGAACCTTTTCAAGGATGATGCTCCTTTCAGCAATATATGCCTAAGAAACCTGCAAGATATGTCATAAAGATATTTACTGTAGTTGATTTTAGAACCTTCTATTTTAGAATTATTTTTTATTTTATTATTTTAGAACCTTCTATTTTAGAACCTTATTTATAACAACATGGAAATTTACCCAGGTCAGCAGCCAGATGGGCCAATAATCATAAAGTCAACAGTTCTTGTGAAAAAGCAAAGCGCATCCTAGCTCCATTATACAATTCTGGAAAAAATTTTAGGTTGATCTTTACATTACGGTAACTTGGCGATTTTTTGGCGAAAATTTGGCGACCAACTCCCCTACAGCAACCCTCTATTTTTTTTTCCCCGCCGCCATTTTGTCTTCACGAAGTAAAGACATGTTTCTTTTCTTCTTATCTACTGAACACTTCTTCCAACAATCTACTAGCCGAATTACACTTATGCTAGAAATTTTATCAAACAAAACTGCTTAATCATGACAAATATTCACTGCAAAATTCAGGAAAAAGTGCACAATACCATACACCTTATGCGTTTTTCAAAATAACACATACACATAAACCATGTACACGCCGACTTATTTTTACTTAAAAAAACATCCCAGAATTGCACAAAAATGGCATTGCGCACACTCTTCACTATATCCATGTACACTGCTTTTTTCTCATAAATTCGAAAAAATTTCACGAAAATACATGACAATTTTCTCAATCTTTAAACCCGGTAAAAAGAACATATATGAAAATTACCTGATCGCGAAAAAGTAATTTACCCTTTACAATATGAACATTTCCACATATAAAATAAATAAAATATCCAAAAACTTTTACCTCTAAATCATCTATTACATTATACACGTCACCAACGAATTCATACATGAAGCATTACAAATATTTAGTATCAAATATTTAAATTATTTCCATGCACGTTTTATTTCAACTTAAACGTAAAACCAAATTCCTACAAGCATAAAATTCACAAAATAACTATCATTTCATTAAAATATCACTGAACCATGTACACGTCGACTTATTTTTACTTAAAAAACATCCCAGAATTGCACAAAAATGGCATTGCGCACACTCTTCACTATATCCAGGTACACTGCTTTTATCTCATAAATTAAAAAATTTCACGAAAATACATGACAATTTTCTCAATCTTTAAAACCCGGTAAAAAGAACATATATGAAATTACATGATCGCGAAAAAGTATTTACCCTTTACAAATATGAACATTTCCACATATAAAATAAATAAAATATCCAAAAACTTTTACCTCTAAATCATCTATTACATTATACACGTCACCAACGAATTCATACATGAAGCATTACAAATATTTTATTATCAAATATTTAAATTATTTCCATGCACATTTATTTCAACTTAAACATACACCAAATTCCTACAAGTATAAAATTCACAAAATAACTATCATTTCATTAAAATATAATTAAATTCAAAAAACACCACTTAAAATATACATGAGCACATACATTCAATTAATAAAAAATTACCTTACAATCCTAATTACTTTAAAACTAAATCATTGCTAATAAAACAATTTTCCCAATAATACCAATTCCTTTCCACCTTACATTTCCAACAATGCATAAAAATAATTAAAAATACTAACTTACCTAATCTCCTTCAGAATCTTCATTACGTGGCGGATACACTTTTCTTCATTCTCTTTCAGAATCTTTAAAATCATACTTATCTTTCAAAGCAAGATACCAGGTAAAATAAATAACATAATAAAACATGTTTATTTCTCTCTCACACACACCTTAAAAAATTTCATTTCTTACTATCCTTTTCAATACCACTAAATACCCATTTCGAATTCACTTTACATACGGGCCATGGGATCCAAAAATTCACATCAACACTATTTCACACAACACACTATGAAGCTAAATACAAAATGCTAAACGCAATAAAAATTTCCAGATTTTTTTCCCAATTTCCCCCCTTTTTTTCCGATTAAAGAACCGTAATTCGTCCATTAATATCACATGACATATCCCATGATCTCGCATTTCCCCCACACAAAATAATGCGTAATCGGAACTCAGTACTGCCTCACATTATTACCAAAGTCCCAGGTAGTAATTTTTAACGCCTCCAAAATGTCGCCAAACTACCAGTTACCGTAATGTAAAGATCAACCAAATTTTACTATACACAGTTGGTATACCAGTTATGAATTGGCCAATTTCTTACAGAAAAATAAAATTTCTATCGTTGGAACAATATGCAAGGATTAGAAGATTAAAGAAGCATGCCGAGCAAATACTAATTCAGAAGTCAAACAACAAAAATCAGCATTATATTTTCAAATTTTCACAGGACTAGTTTCGATGGTTTTACCGAATCACCATCATCAGCTGCAGAAACGCCAACGAAAGAGATAGCATATAGTAATCAGATAAGATAAGAAAGCCAGGACAGAAAATAAGCTAGTGGTGCCATCTGTTGGTGAAACCAGAATTAAAACATAATTTCTTTAAAGGCCGAAAGCAAAGATGGATTGGAATTAGGATCATTAACTAGATCAGAAAGATTTTTTTGAATGTGAAATGCCTCTAGAAAATCCAGTTCTCCAATGGAAGATGTTTTTTGAATAATTTTGGCAGCAGAAAAATTGAGAGTGTCATTTTCGGACCAATAATGTTGGGCACCAGAAGACTTCTGTGTTTCCTTTTTTCTTCTTAAAGTTTTTATGAAAAGTTTTAATTCTGTTTATTATAGATCTTTCTGCAAGTTTGGCTAATTGATAAGCAGTTACATTGAAAAGTTCTTTATGAATAATTTCTGCGTAGAATTGTTTTCATATAATGCTGAAGTTATTATTTGCTTTATCTATTTTTGTAATAGTAAAAAGTTTTTTTTTAATTTTTAATATCTGATAGAAGTTGTGACCAATTCAATGTACTTTTAAGCTTGAGGTGATTGATTTTGGTGGATATGTGTTGAAGCATTTTATCTTTCCATTTTAAAAAGGTATCTATAGGTAAATTCAGTTGATAGCTTGCTTTAACTATAAATTCATGGATGCTGTTTTCGAAAGTCTTGTTACAGTAATTTTTATTTATGTCTCTGACTGGTCTAAATTTTACACCATATAATTTATTTACTAAAGAAATATTGATTATATTATCTCCTAATATTAATTTTAGTAGATAAAATCTTACAACATATATATATAAACTTGCCAGTTTAAAGACAAAAAAAAAATTTTTTTCCAACTTCACTTTATATTTAAATAAATCAGTTTATACACATAAACAGAGTTTGTTAATAGCTGGAGCCATATTTAGTTGCACTCTTTTTGATTTACACTGATTTTTAGTACGTTACTGAAAAAAAAATTAAAAAATAAATACACACTGAGGGGTGTCAAAATTTTTAAAAGCCCTTTATAAACCATTTATTATTGTCAGATCATTTCAAAATTTCTCTTCAATGTAGTAAAGGTATTAAGGTATTTTTCCAGCAAAAAACTGAAAAATCAGTAATTTCATCAATTTTGGGGTACCAAGTCCCCTTTATATTGGGCCATCCCATTTAAATAATGCAGTTTATTTATACTTTTTATTTTTTAAAATTATGGTAAAGTTCTTTTGTAATCTAAAATACACTCTCCTTCATCCTCAGCTAATTCCTCAACAGTAACAATAGTATTTTTTCCACCAGAATTTGCAGTATGTACTCTTCGATCTCTTCAGACTTTCCAGGAAGTGGTCAAGACAGAATCAAACTGTGAGCTTCAAAACTAGCCCAAAGCTAAAATTACTACCTACTTTTACAGCAAGTTGTCGTTCGTAGTTTATTCTGTCCCCTCTGACTTTTCAATGAAAAAAACTGCATAATTTATGACATGACACAATATCTCAAGGAAAAACAGGAAAACGGCAAAGTCTGCTTAAAATGTAAGGAATACTGCAAATCATCAAGATCACTAGTATAGCAAAGCAAAAAAAACTCAACATAATCGTATGATTCCAAACTGAATTACGTTGCAATGCAACCGATTTTGTGGAGGTCTTTCAGAGGAAACTGATTCGCATCTACATACATACGAGAATAACAATGAATACAATATTCAAGACAAAAACATTATCTCAAAGAAAAAATCTGATAAACCCGTAACTCATATGATCTTATTTCACACGATAATTAATTTGGCATGTTGGTCCCGCACTTTTTAAAGAATGCTTCAACAGTTACGAAATTCACAGAATTCTTTTACGTACAAAGATCTTATGCTCTATCATCTGGTTATCGAATTCTATACAAAAGTGTTTTTACAGAAATTTTAAGCCCCATGTGAATGATAATCATTATTACAGAAATTAGATACATATAACTACTACTACCAAAGTTTTCTTTTTTGGTTTATATCCCTAAAAATCTGTGAAACGATATTAAAAGCTCCTAACACTGAGTGCATTACATTTGAAAGAAAAACAGTCACACAAATTTGCTATGAAATCGAATGTATTACAATAATTCCTATACTATTTTAATATAAACTGACATTACAACACTGTTTTAAATTACAGCAATGTTGACAGAAAAAAATAATAATAATAAAAATTACAGACCTCTTTAAAAGTTACCAAATGCTCACTCACCGGGAAAAAATCCCACAACACCGATCAGCACGGAACCAATGTTGCCAAAACTCGTAATGCACATTCTTTAAATTCAACTTTAGTGAAAAACCGCTAACTTCTGAAAAGTATCTCGAAATGTTTCTGAAATTCATTATTAATTTACTGATTTCTAACATACTACACATATTAGGCTTAAATACACAGACAGTACGATAATGTTTACAAACGAGCGAATTTTCGATACTGTAATGTTGTTAACCGATGATGTAGTTAGAGGGGGTGGTTCGATGCATAGTATAGGGGTAGTCATATGGATCTTCGAAGTTAGAAGAGCAAATTTTGGAGGTTTTAGTCACTTCGTCTTTGCTGTGTAGATCGATAATATTCTTCTTAAAGACCAATATGGTGTTGTGAGGTTATCAGTCTAGATTAAAACTGTATCTCCAAGGTTAGATACACAAACTCTGTTTCTAGCTGTTGTTCTTTGGTGTAACAGCCTCAAAAATCCACTGCGAAACATGACTCGAATATCTGGCATCAGCTTTCTTCTGTAAACTAATCTTTTTTTTTTTTTTTTTTTTTTTTTTTTTTTTTCCAAGTCCTTGTTAACAGTTTTTATCTGATCAAAATTAGTCGTACTACTTGAGCGATTTTCTTTCAAAACTAAATCAAGTGTTTATGTACTTGACTTCTCCGGATCTTCACTGACATCGGTTAGAGGTCTGGCATTTAGTTGACTCTCATAGTCATAGAGAACAGTTTCCAGCTCTTGATAGTTTAAAGACACTCGTCCTAAAATCTTTTTCAGAATTCGTTTCAGAAGGCTAATCAACCTGTTCCAAAATTCCCACCAGCTACCGGAGCTACTGGAAGAATGAATTTTCAAGTAATAGGAGAACTAGATGCTTTTGAACTTTTCAGACTGATATTTTTCAATAAATTTTCAGTTCAAGTAAAGTTAGTTGCAATGTCCGAATGAATTACTAAAGGTCGACTTCAACAAGTTAGGAATCTCGTAAGTGCCAATTATCTCTTGATAGAGAAATCAAAAGTTCTGAATGTAGTGTTCTATAAACTGCGCACATTAAAATATTATTTGTACCTTCTTGCTTTCTTTCACTAACAATGGACCTGCCACAGCCACTCCAATAACTTCAAAAATGCTATCTGCTTTTAGGTAGCTAGTGATTTTCTCTCAAAGCCACCATCAGAGATTATACTCCTCAATACCCAAGTTCTCGGTATTTAAATAAAATGACAATCATGTGGTAGAATAATCGGGACTTTGAAATTGCCATCGTCGTTTCTCAATAGTTTTATTTTTTTATTCTAAAAATTCTATCAGCGTTTGTGAATCCCTACAATGATTTTAAATGCTGAGTTTTTCTGATTTGGAAAGCATTTTCTTGAACTTTTTAAAAATTATAAGTTCCACTTCTTTAAATTCTTCAGCATATAATTCTTCTATTTTCTTGTTTAGAATTTCTATAAAATCTATAATATATCCAACTAGTAACTTTAACTAACATGTGTGGTTCACATTCATCATTTCAACATTCATCACATCTCTGATTCGGATAGGATACGAAAGTTTACTTCTTTCCCGCATTTACTACATCTTCATCAGCCCCTGCCAGCAGTTCATAATCTGATCATTTATCCCTGGAATTTCTAAACAGTGTCTGGAAGTGTTTTTGGTTTTATGTGATTACAGCAAAGCCTCGAGGGCTATCTGCCTAAGGGAATGGTTGCCTTCGTAAGGGACTTTCTGAGAAAAACTAACTCATATACACGTTACACATGTGGAAAACCACGAAAATGCCCGTGCAGCCAACATAATTCTCGGGATTTGAATCTCGGACCAAAAGGGATTTTACCTCTCGGCCGTTAGTGCGATAGATTTAAAAAGGATATAAATAGGAATATGTACGGCAGTTTCTTTCACTGCATATGTTAATATATTTATGTGTATAGTTATTTATTTATTTAAAACAGGTTTTGTGTGCCTTAAACTTTTGTGCTTCTGGAAGTTACCAGAAATATGTTGGTAATGACAGATATATTGGGCTGAGCCAGAAATAGAAATATGTCAGTTGGTGTATTTGAGAAATTACAGATGCTATTTGTTCTGGTATTTTCACCAAATGGATAAAATTTACATTAAATAGTTTTCAGCAAAGTTTGGATTTCCTGGTGTCATAGGCACTGTAGATGGTACCCATTTATCTATAATTGCACCTAATGACACGAAAGAATGCCAAGGTTCATTTGTATAAACAGAAAATCCTTCCGTTCGCTTAATGTGCAACTGTTATGTAATTTTTCCTTCCATTTTAATAGGGAGACTGGAAAGTAATGTCGTTTCTGCGCATGTCGACAACAACATGCTAAGGGCACAAGTGGAAGCAAATCCATTTCACACACTCTTAACCAACCTTGGTCGACCATCCAAGAACTTTTAAAGCAGAATGGAAAAATAAGTAAAGCAGGTGTTTGAGTTCCCCATAATCTGTCCGAAAAGAACAAAGCCAACCTATCCATCACATGCAACGTATTGGTTCAACGGCACTATACAGAACCGTTTCTTTGATCGTTTGATTAGTGGAGACAAAAAAATAAGTCCTATATGATAATCCAAAACTCAAAAGGTAGTTTTTAATAGGGGTTACAAAGGGTTTACATTCCGAAAAGGCGATTGTGGGTTTTTGATGGAGTATTCGCGGAATTGTTCATTTTGAATTTCTGAAACCTGGACAAACTGTTAATGCAGACCTTTATTGTGAACAATTGGATCGAGTGAACCAATCTTTAATTGAAAAATATCCGGCGATTGTCAACAGAAAAGGCGTCATTCTGCAACACGACAATGCAAGACCGCACTGTGCAAGACGAACACTGGAAATAGTTAATGAATTCAGATGGGAGGTACTGCCTCACCCACCATACTGGCTCGACATCGCACCCTCGAATTTCCATTTATTCCGATCCCTACAACATTTTCTTAGTGGCAAAAAATTTGAAAATTTGGATGATGTCCAAAATGTCCTCTCGAGATATTTTATTTAAAAACCAATTGATTTTTATCGTCCGGGATTGAAAATCTGCCCATTAGATGGCAAAAGGTTGGTGATAACGAGGGGGATTGTATTATTGATTAAAAATAAAAACGTGTTAAAAATGTAATCGTTTGAATTTAATGTAAGAAAGCGACATTATTTTCCGGCCCCCCTATTATATAACATATATATATATACCGGGTGCGTCATAAATTCGTGCAAAGTTCAAAAATTCGTAATAAAAGGAGGAATGCACGGAAAAATTTTCTGTTTGCGCCAATATGGTCAGAAAGACATTGGATTTTTTCCATTTAAAAAAAATGTTTCCAAAAGTAGCCGACAGAGGCCGCTCACACGTGATACTGAGATGTTTTATGAAAATCAGGCTGTCAGTAAAACACTTGGCTGGTAACGGATCCTTCATTCGAAGCCGGCAGCATGCGTTTTTTACCAGATCGGGCTTTGGTGGTTAAATTGTTCTACAAGAATGGTGAATCCACAACTGTTACATTGCGAAAGTTTCGCACGGAGAAAGGACTGAATGTGCAAAAAAGTCTATTTCAATGAATGGGATACGAAATTTAGTTCGACGTTTTGAGGAAACGGGGAGTTTGAAGAATCGTCAACGAAGGGGCAGACCATCCTTGAGAGCGGACCGTGTCCATGTGGTACAAAGTGTTATGAGAGATATCGCAGCCGAGACATCAACGGGGAGTAGCAGTGCTCGTGAAGCTCAGAGGAGATCGAGGATTTCGAAAGCGTTGATTCGATGTATTCTGCACGGAATGTTGGATCTGTACCCGTACAAAATCCAGCGACCAGTTATTATCGGCAGATACAGATGCAAGACAAAAGTTTGCTACATGGGCGCTGGCACAAATGGAACGTAACCCACAATGGTTGCTGAACGTCATGTGAACGGATGAAGCCCACTTTTCACTGTTTACTTATCGCCGCGATATAGCAAAAGGTCTTAAATTAAAAATAGGACATAATTGAATAAAATATAATTCTAGTTATAATTATTGACAATTTATGTGAAAATAACGGTCCTGCACCTGTAAGTATTAATTTAATGCTTTATTTTCTGTTTTCATTTAATTTGTTACGCTTCCCTGTACTCATGGATGTTCAAACATAGTTTATTCTATAGCATTTTAGCATTTGTTTATGTGCATTGCAAGTAATCTATTGACATTTTCTTGTATACATAAATTACTATACTGATTCAGTGTAAATTGTTTTTGCAAACACGGACTTCGTACACACATACACACACACACAGATCGTATTTTATTCTCGAGTGTCAAGATGCAGAAACATCTTTTTACTCGACTTCTGATAAAGAACGGGTGGGGCAAAAAGAGAAGGGTGAAAGGAGTGTGGGAGGCAGATGAAAGAGAGTGAGGTCCGCACTAGCGGCGGCGAAAAAGGGGGGTGTCAAGTTCAGTGTCGTTATAAGATGTAGCCGCGGGTGGTAAGACCGCAGAGTCAGTTTTGCGTGAATGAGTCAATTAAGGTTGTGAATCTTATGTGGGGAGGATGTTACAAGGGTAGCGATGTTTATCTCTGGGACGCGGGGAGTGTCTGAAGAGTGCTAAATAAGGCTATTACTGTGGGTTTGTACTGAATAAAAGAGTTGACCGCTAATCGTTTAATATACTCTTGAATAAGTTCCATTCGAAGGTCTCTGTGAATATAGATGTTGGGAATATACCAAGGAGCATTGATAATTTCTCGTAAAATTTTATTTTGTAGAATTTGTAATTGTTTAATATTGGTTTTAGCTGCATGTCCCAGTCGGTGCTGCATAAAGAAGGCTGGGCGCAGTATGGAGCGATATAGAATTAATTTGTTTGTAGTAGATAAGTTGCTTTTTCTACCAAGAAGAGGTCGCATAGTAGCTGTGGTGATTTTAAATTTTTGTACTACGGACCGGAAATGGGTTTCTGAAGGTAAGTTTTTGGTCAAGGGTGACTCCAAGGTATTTGGTTTCATTAATCCAGTCTATTGCTTCGT